CTCTTATTACTCATGTATTTCACTCTAGTTCTGCTTGATGCTCGGAATATTGGTTTCTTATTCTGCGCCAGACATCCATCTACTTTTATCCAGGTTCTACTCGCGTATGAATCCTCCCACTCCGTATTGAGTGGTGCATAGTTCTCCTCCATCCCTACTCGACCGTCTACAAAGTAAGGTGGCTCGCCTTTTCAAATACCCTTCTATCAAATCCATTGCGTAGTAAATAACCCTTATCCGGGCAGTTGCTTCTTCGTCCACTTTTATCATAACTATTTTTATTCTTTGTTAGAGTTTTTTCTTCGCACGTTTCCTCTCCAACCTGCTAGTCTCTATTACCAAGTGTTTCTTGCCTGATATTGCACTGCCTGATTTTATTCGTTCTTTTGCATATAATAGCTTTTTTGTAGAACATCTCTGTGCACTCCGTAGTTCCTCCCACCTATCGTTCCCAGGTTTTCAGATACAGAACGGCATTCTTTTGTATCGCCTAACTTTTACGAGCATTAAAGCTTGCACAAGCCAACTGAACGCATTTCTCGGAGAAAAGAGAAGAATGTTCCCCTGGTTGTTTTTACTCTCTCTCTCTTTGTTCGTGGGTACACGTGTAAGAGAGGGCACAAGGAACTTCGGTAAAGGTTTGTTTTTCGGTATTCAGGGCGTATGGAGGGATGGAAACGACAGCTTTTCAACTCAGCAGGCATCATTGGTTGAGGTTGGCAGGAATTCTTTTTCCGAAATTCACATAAGAAGTGGTGGTGGTGTGGTGGTCTGAAAGTTTCACAATTAACTAGTTCACGGAAATTGAAGAACCTCGGAAAATACTCATTAGGCCGCGGTGTAAGACCTTGAATTTTGTTTGAGTAATCCAGAGAGAACAGTAGCTTAAGATGGGGAAGATACACTGGTATACGAAGGTAGAATCACCTGATTGGGAAGTGCGAAACTGTCTGAGTTTTCGAATTCAAAATCATAAGCTCCGCAGTTTACCAACGCAATTGAGGATGTAGGTTGACCAGCGGGGATTACAGAATTCACCTTAGATAAAAGATGTTTATCAAACACTAGGTTCTGTAGGGGAAGAAGAGCGTGAAAAAGTGTTAGCATTTAACATTTGTCGTACGTCTGGATGGTTCACTATGCACTGATTACAGACTGTTTCTGCTAGGCTCAAACTTCTGACACAAGAAAAAACACTGCCTTACATGAAAATCGCCAACCTTTTCAGAGCGATGGACCAGATCGCCGTTAGCTACCGCTAGCGAGGATCAATTCCCGACTGCCACTGTCACTAGTCAACACCTGTAGACACCGGTGATGCTCTGCTACGAGCCGGATTCTCCCTACGTTGCTTAAAAGCAGCCGCAGAAAAACCACCGGAAACGGATGCCCACAATACTACATCTGTGATAATTGCAAATCGGTCTTCGAAGCTGATCTCTCTCATCGCCTTTCAGCTCCACCAACTTCCGAAGGACTCAGTGAACACTGGACAGTAATCAAGGAAACTATCAAAATGTCAATCAAAACAACGGTGGATTCTGGCACACCATCAAAGCAAACACTTTGAAACTCCTCAACCTCGCATAATAGGACAAACCACGCAGCATCTTTAAACGCCAGCCCATCAAAAACCTAATGAATAACCGCGAAAAGTGATGGCTGACGAAGTGTATACATAAGGAGAAGACTGCGGCTATCGGCAGTAGTCACAATCTTTTTAATTAGGAGTACAGGCTCAAGGAAAGTAGGCGTGAGGCAATCAAGGGATCTGACAGCCCACTGGTTCACACTCAGTAACGCTGTCTTGAACATTTTGAAGCACAGCTCACCTTGTCCCCGTCGACAAAAAACCTCCCAATACCACTTTCACCGGGCACATACTGCCGTTAGATAGCACTTCTCTATTTGAAACGGAGATTACCCGGAAAGTCAGTTACTTCAAAACGTATATGATCTCCAACTCGGATGGGTTGTTCCCATTGATTTTTAAGGATAGAGGGTCAGCCTTGGTTTCAGAGTTAACGAAACTTCTGATAACAGTATGGGAGAGGAAACATTCCGATTGAATAGTGTGAGTCGTTCTTTTTGCCAATCCACAAGAAAGGTAACAGGTCCTCTTGTGAAAACCACAGGTGAATTGGTTTGATCAACATTGTCTCTAAACCGCTTGCTGATATTATACTCCGCCGATTGTCTGCCGCACGTGAACGAAACACGCTTGAGAACCAGGCTAATTTTAGACCCGGCCGAGGTTGTATCGACCATATTTTCACCCATCACTAAATTTTAGAACGCAAACACTCCTGTCTTAGACCCATCATTTCTATCTTTCTCTATCTGAAAGCGGCGTTGGACTCAGTCGACCGTTCTATACTCTGGCGTAGCCTCGCTCTGAAGGGTTCGTCCGAGAAGTTTAGTTTAATTTTGTGACCTCTTTATACTAACAGTTGAGTTCGAGCTTACGGCACATTTTCGTCCGAGTTCACTATGGAAAGTGGTGTTCGTCAGGGTTGCTCTCTCTCCGTTTCTATTTAGCTTTGTCATAGATTTGATTCTTAAAACAGCCCTATCCTCGTGCGAGGACAGCAGCATCGATTTATTCCCAGGTGGCTGACTAGCGAATCTCGAGTATGCCGACGACATTGTGCTGCTAAGTGAAGATCCAGGTAAGTTGTGAGCTTTTCTGACTAGGCTGAGTACCAGTGTAGCTATGTTCGGTATACGTTTCGCACCTTAAAAGTATAAAATGTTGCTACAATATTGGGTCGGCTCAGCCTCCAACCTCATTTTAACTGCGGAAGTTGACAAATTTTGTTATTTGAGCGGCTATATCTCAGGTGGCGGATGCTTAACGGATGAAGTGTTGGCACGCACACAAAAGGCTCGATTGGCAGTTTCCAACTTGAGACATTTGTGGCACCGTCGCAATATCCGGCTCCCTGTGAAGGGTCGAATAAATACTACAGCAGTTAGGCCAGTTCTGCTCCAACTTGCAGAGACTTGGCCATTATGGGATCCGGATAGAAATATATTGTCGGCGTTCGAATATCGTTGTCTACGCCGCATTCCATGAGTCTGGCGACTATACCGGTTAAAAACTGCTGAGGTTAGGCGCAGAGTTTTAGCTAATGGAACAAGTAGTCGACCTCCATAGATTACGTTGGTTGAAACATGTGTTACGCGTGTTACCAAATAGGTTGCCACGGCGGGCGTTGTTTACCGTGGTAGGTAGCGGATAGAAAAAGGTCAACGGAGGTCAAACTAAGACCTGGCATGAGGGTATGAAAACCCTGAGCAGGACACTGAGTTCCGTAGTTACCGGATAGGGAACCCGATATCAAGGTAACTGGCGCACAGAGACACTGAGTGTCGCAAACGGTAACGCTCGTGCATCTACTCATTATTCTTGCAACCCCAGTTTATATGGATTCTTTGTCCTCTCTTTGACTTTTCTCCCAACATTCCAATCTTAATTCTGCTCTTTCATCCAAATGGGCAGCCGAAGCACACCAACCAAGAGCGGTGCATAACAGTTCTTGGTTAATGACTGCACAACAGGAAACTGAACATTTTCTAGGATTTGAACTTGGCTTCAATTGAGAACAAACTGCATCTGAGAAAGATTATCGATGAAGGAACTTAAGCGAGAGGAGAAAGAATTGGGTCAGCACAAAAAAAACATCTTCCGTCTCTTCTACATATGCAGGAGAAAAATAAGGAATATAATAAATGTGTGGAAAATAAGCGTTGAGGGCAGCACAGTTCTTCGAAGCACTCCGAATTCGTTGACTAAGGGTTAGATGCACTCTTCTCCAGTCTGGCAGTTTGTGCTCTATCAATGAACCAGTTGGGTAATCAAGCTAACAATTGCTCGATGCATTTAAAATATTCCAAGGATTCAACACGCTTTGACCGAGGGATAGAGTTGAATGCTGTGGAATAGTCGCGTAAAGTACGCTAAAAAGGTTTAACGAAGTGATTCAAAGATTTGATTATAAACTGAATAAGGATGGAGAATGAGTCTCAAGTGGATCTGTTTGGCTTGTAGACCAACTGTAAGGGATCATTGCGAGTGCTCATGAACTGCTGTCACCGTTTGAGAATATTCTTTTGACTCCACTTTTGGGCAGATGCCCAAGCTATGGGACAGTAACGCCTAAAGTGAATAGATTTGGATGAGTATGACTGTGAATGGCCTCAAAAAGTTTAAAATAATGGAAAAGTGATGCGATTTATTTACAACAGAGGTAACTGTCCAAATAGGGAAGCATCTCCGAATTTGAAAAAACCTAAGGTAAACCACCCAGGTCTGAAGTAGTGGAATAATTTCAATTATTCAAAAGCGTAATATATTAGAATTCAAAAACATTTCCACATCGCAAATGTGATGTGATGAGTGGGCAGGAAGAAATCGGAATCTAATGTGATCAGATCGAGCGAAAGGTTAATGGGCGCAGTAGATTGAACTCTTGCACACATCTCTTTTTTAAGGTATAACTTTTAACCACAGAATTTACTCTACTGTTGACGTGTCGTACCAATTTAACTGGAAAAATGTAAGGAAAATCATAGAGATCAATAGCTAGTGCTGAGACAAGGTATGAGGCGCTCGGTGAAAACAGTCTTTTGTCTACCAGGGTGGGATTTTATGGACATTACAACGAACTGATGGCAGTGCTGCTCTTGTCATTTCCAAGTGGGACAGTCAGCTTACAGACTAACTGATGGATGCCATATACGTCTGTAAGTTGAATGGGTAATTTGAATGTGAAAAGATCAGTGCTATCGGTATGTATGTATACTCATACGGGTAAACTCGGTGTCTACTTATGTGGTAACCAACTGAACAATATTGACTAAGTAGCGTAGTTGTTTTATTTTGCATCATTTTCTTACAGCGATGCAATATTTAACACCACTTAATCATACATATAATACGGGACTGACTCATAGTGGTTCCTTCTATTTGTCCTTTCGTCTTCATTTGTTAGTGTTTGATGGAGACGGATGAAGCAGTACCCGTGATCGGGAATAAGTCCGAAGAACGGCAAGAAGACCAGCCAAACAGCACTAACGACTCGGATTCGGCTGTGGAATTGTGGTGGGAGACATTTTTGAAACAGAAGCGTGCTGAAGATGCATTGGACGCGGAACTGCGAGCCGCCTGGGAGAACTGCAGTCAACGGCGCTTGAAGTTTGCACGTGAGGTTCAAAAGATTACCGAGTTGTACCAACCCATTGAGAAGTTGTTGCACACTGTGCTTGAGTCGGACAAGATGCATCGTGGTGATAACCTCTATCGTGAATGGGGTAAGTATTATATTTGTATCGTTGTTCTGTTAGATCAGAAGCTCATTGGGTTCGAGGAATTGCACCCACTTCTGAATCACTTTTCTTCTGTTTTCTTTCATTCTTTTTCTGCCATGGCTGAATCCACATTGGTTCTTGTAATATATGAAATTGGTAGAATAAAAAGTTGCGGTGGTTGGTTCCGAATCTGATCCCTCGATGTTCGCATATTTTAATGTTAAGCAGCACTGTCCACCGTCGCCTAGTATCACAATTATACAAACCCTGTTTAGGGGAAAATAAGATATTTGAACTTCATAAAATAAATGTAAAGTGAGAAAAATAGTCTTTCTTTTAGGGAAAAATGGGATTTCATCATCGCGGGGAATCGGTAAACCCTGGCTTCTAACCGTCCGTAATGTAGTGTTCCAGCTGTCCCTCAGGATTAATACATATACAGTCACTGGTTTGATAGGGCAGTCGGGTATATTAGGCACCCTGGGTGTGGAAATCACATCCAAATGNCCCCCCCCCCCCCCCCCGGTTGATCACAGACTTAAAGGACCGCTGCATTGTCTTGTGGGTTGAATTATTCCGTCTAATTTTTAGTATGCGGTCCGTCAAATCGATGTCCTCTGGTCATTTGTATCGTTTAGTAAAACAATTCACAATGACAGAAGAATAAAATTGAACGCTAACTACTTTGTCGATCACATTGTTCTCTGGTGCTTCCACTTGAAGTGTCCTAGCTACTTAGGTCTCTATCAGTTGCCCGTTGCAGACGAATCATCGGAGCTATCATATCTCACTTGAGTTCGCTAGTTAGAGTAGTGTTTGTCAAAGTTTCTTCCTTCCCTTTCAACTCTCTCTCTTAAACGGCATTGCCCATCGCCACTTTGAGTCATCTGTGATGTTGACGTGTAGGGGAGCGTCAGCTACAGCGTTTGGCAGAGTTCTATTCATGATTCTGAGGCATAGTTACTGGAAATAGCTGCAGAGAGGTTGTGAATTTTAGAATATTCACTTCTCAGCATTGTCCACGTCCATTGCGATAAGGCACCAGCAATGCCACTGCCAGGATCAGAGAACCAGGCTTTCAAGACAACCCTAGCACAAATGGAGATGGTTAAGATATGATGTGCATGTCATGCAATTGGCAACTTCAAAGTTCAGAGTGCTGCTCCAAGACTTGGTATTAACTACTGTGAAGCTTAGTTGTGGGCAATCGATTTTAGTGGATAGCTTCTTCTACCTGGACAGTTGCGTCGCGAAGGACGGTAGCACGTAAAGATCAACAGTATAGGTATTTCCTGTCTTCCATTTTGGGCATGCGCAATATGTGTCCTAAAAAGTGAAGCCTACTACTATGAATTAGATGTGATCCCTGATACATACGAAACTCAGTCTACACAAGGTAGGAATGACTCTGACCATTGGGAAGTGGACCTGGACGGGAAAAGAAAGCGTTCTCCTGTGACCAACACAGTGCTCGGTCTAACTATGCATACAAACCCCTTCAAGTCCAGTTCACTTTCAGTTTTTACAACCACTAACCTTGCACTTTCGTACGCTGGTTTTGGTTGCTGTCTTTTGGTTGCCCATTTGGATAAAAGAGCAAAATGAAGATTGCAATATTGAAGCAAATTCAAGCGGAAGATGGGGAATTCATATAGAGTGGTGTTGGGAGAATAACCAGTGGATGCATGAGCGCCACTGTTTGCGACCCCCAGCCATATCAATCACTGTATCTGACCATCGGTTACGATCATCCCGAGGTCCCCAGCCAGGGAGCCTAACGGGGCCTATG